AAACATCTGTGCCTCTCAGAGGCCAATTAACTGACTCGACTCCACTTTTTGTAAAATTTTCAAATGGAAATAGAAATGACTGTTGATTTATATTTTCAACAATTACCATGTGATTCAGACAATTTCTATACTCACCACCGAGCGAAAAGTTCGAAAACTCGTGAATCTGATCGTGGATACCTCGAGCTCGAGAACACTCGAGAATCTCGAGATCAGCTGGTCCAGCGACAACGCCAAGATCGGCAAAATTCGCAAAAATCGCAAAATCACGAGCACGAAATAACAAAGTGATAACAGATGAAAGATGATCGTCACCGTCTCATAGGGCCATGAAAACGCGCAAGCGCAATACAAAGATCGGACTTGTGAACGCGGAATACTAATGTTGTTTTCATCATCATAGACGCTGTATGTCTATGACCGGGATAATCGGCGGGAAGGCGGGGGGAAGGGGGTTGTTGCGTGCGCGGGGAGGAGTTGCGTCGTCGCGTGTCGCGTGCGGGAGGAGTGAAGGAATTCGGCGTATTCCCACGAATCCCACGAGATCGGAGTAATTCAGTCGAGGAGGTAACCGCGCCAACCGTGGAATATCTTGGCGATTGTTTTCGCACGACGCGGATCCGCCTCGCGCGGATATAACATCGTAATGGCGACGCCGACCAACAGCAGCGGTAACCTCGTCGACGAGTTCGAGGAATCGTTTCAGGTAGAACGCATAATTTTACATAGTCTCGTGTTAGCGTTAATTTATCGTACCGCTTAATTGTTAATATTCATAATCGAGGAGCCTTTCCGACGTGGCATTTCCTCGCAAAAGTGACACGTAAAACTCAAAGTAGAATTGTCGCAATAAATTGGCCCACATTGTTGACGTACGCTGACGTTGTTATTGGTATTCTAGAACAATTTTTAAATAGAAATTTTTATTTATCCTTTTGTTTGAGAGTATATGTGATTGAATGTAATTGGAGGGTTTATCAATATTTTTCTTTAGGAAGTAATCGACAGTTTAAGGTATACAGACGAAATTTAACTATGTGATGCGACAAGAAATGAAAAATACTAGAAAAATAATTCTACGTAATAATAAATGTTTGTAGAAATAGTATAAGTCTTGATCTTTCGAATGGAGCATGTAAATTTGCTCAACTTTCTATAACTTGTTTAAGAACATGTAACTACCATGCTTGAAAGGATTTTTAAAAGAAACATTTATAAGAGTTAAATATAACAAAAATATAAAAATATATCTTGTGTGTGTATTTATTTTAGTTTTTTAGTATTATTTGATTCTAAATTTGCTTCCAAATATCTAAAAGATCATATCAACGTTGCTGAAATGTTGTAGAATGTCAATACAGGTTATTAAATCTCGATTGTCTCTTTCCAGCAATGTTTGAGTATTTTGACTAAGGACGAGGGATTGGGCAACAGCGGTACTGGTGCGTCTGGTGGTATGACAGTGGATAAAGACGAAGGTCGCGCGGAAATGGAACAAGCCACCATGAGGTTTATAGACCTGGCCAGGCAGATGGAGGCTTTCTTCCTGCAAAAGAGATTTCTTCTGTCTGCGCTGAAGCCCGAGCTGTTGGTCAAGGAAGAAATCAACGAGCTGAAATTGGAGTTGGGGCGGAAGGAGGACCTGATAAAAAGACATAACGACAAGATCGCCGTCTGGCAGAATATGTTGTCGGATTTGCAGGGATGGGCGCAGTCCCCTGCTCAAGGGCCAGCACCCAGTGGTAAGATAAGTAATGATAATAATAACAATTATCTAATCATAATAATCAAATAACTCAATAACATTGACATTAATAGGCTTACCCAATGGAAATCAAAGCGGGCAGAATCAGCAGGCGCAGAGTGGCAGCGGTAATGCCTCGATGCAGCAACAACAGCAAATACTGCAGCATCAGCAGCAATTGCAACAGCAATTGCAGCAGCAGCAGCAGCAGCAGCAACATC